TACTAATTATTTATATATATAAATACTCTAATTTTTTAGATTTTTTTAAAGTATTTAATAATTAACTATTATTTTATGAAAGGTTATACTTTAGAATCTTATCATACTTAGACTATACTTTTATATTATTAAAAAGATCATTTAAAGACTATTATTTTCATATTAATATCTTTATACTATTAAAGTACTATTAAATGCTATTTAAATGATATCTCTACTTCTGTTATATATAATCTCTATCTGTGTATTCATGTATTTATATATTCTTTTATCTATATAGTCTCTATTACAAAAGTACTAATTCTTATACTGAATCTCTACTCTTTATAAAAAGAAGCTTAATTTCTTAACAGATCTATATTTTTTTTTAAATAATTTTTATTTTTATTTATATATATATTAACTTATTATCTGTTTTTAATAATTAATTTATTATATTAAAAATTATTTTAAGATTATTTATTTAAGATTTAAAAAGTAAGTTTTACTGATATTTATACATAGTATAGAGCTACTTATATATAAAAAGATTATTATTATTATTATTTATTTATTTAAGATATATTAAGTTAGTAACTATGATATATATCTTAATTAAACTAAAATTTAATAATATTATTAATCTAATTAATAAATAATAATTAATTCATGTACTTATAGAGTTTTATTCTAGAATAATATAATATTTAATAATTTTAATTTTAATTCAGTCATTTTTTCAACTTTAATAAAATAAATATCTTTTTATATAATAATATAAACAACTTAATATATTATATAATAATACAAAATAATATAATTACAAAATAAAATAAAATAAAATAAAATAATAAACTAGTATAAAAGAAATTTCAATAAAAGTATTATTAAAAATATATTCTCAGATTTTATAAATTAAATATCAAATTTATTTAAAGTTAAAGTTTATTTTTTAAAAATAATTTTTATTTTCTGAGAAACTCGGTGAAAAGCATGGTTTTTGAATTCAGTATGAAAATATAAAGATTATGTTTAAATTAATGAAATAAGTATTGGTTTGCAATT